ACGGGTACGTGGAATCTTCACTGTCCTTCGGCGACGCGTCGGAAATTCCCGCCAGGTCAACCCTCGGCCGAAAGTGCCGTTATACGCACGTGTGGATTGACCCTTCAGGAACATCTGGTTTATGTCACGTCTTCGGCTATTGAGGACGCAGAAAAGTCGAAATTCTAAAGCCATTGTTTCTAAGAAGTTACTCATTTTTTCGCGCAGCTACGAAGCGTCTTTGTTCTCAAAAATAACCTTCTGGTGCGAGCATGTCATAAACCCGGTCAACGAAGACCCCACGTGTTCCGTACCTATGCGACGGAACACATGATCTTAAGAAAAGTTGGCTGATCCCACCGCTGCCACCAATGTTACGAATCGCAATATGCTTGTTGAGAAACCGATAATTGTCCCTATTTTTGAGTCAGACCATTTAAAATTTAAGGAATCTACTCAGAATAGGGGACTCAGGTAGTGCACGGAAGATCGACTATTAACGCACAACAATTTGCTATTAAAACTATGTATTTGGAAATGAACGTGAACAGAGCGCGAAATGTCTAAGTTTACTGGTCGGAAAATTGTGTGTCGTGTCGTGTTGTGTTCGCTATTTTATAAACTACGTGTATGTTGTGATTGGTGGTGTGAAGCTGTCGTAGGTAGTGAAAGTGTGTGGTGATTGGTTTTCTCGATGTGTTTGGGGTGTGTCTGGTGGTGGTGTGAAAGTGGGAAATTTGTTCCTACTTTTGTTATATTGCTTGTCTGAAATGGGTGATGTCGAAGGTCTGTGTTATTGTCTTAGGGCATGTGGTGTCCAGGTGTGAGAGTCGTCGAATTTTTAGTGTAATAATATAATTTGCCCATACCTGCTAAGACCTCGCTTTTCAGAAGGTGCCATCGATTGAAAATACCGATGTTATTGTTCGGCTCGTCGGTACGGCCGAACAACCCAAACGACGTCTGTTACGCATGTGACAATGTCTATCCATCTAAGGAATTTCATATATGTAAATAGACATAAATCCAAAATTATTTCCAACAGAAGACACAAATTTTGTAACTTGTAACGTGTATCTAAACTGAACAAAAGTTCACTATAAACCCAACTAGGCTGGGACAGCTATACATAAAAGAGCAACGAAAGAAAGTTGATTGTTCGCAAAATGTTTACGTTGATGACACATCGTGCTATAAATATTCACATTAACTTAATTAATAATTTACGAAAATTGATCAGTTGTACTAGAAAATTATATTATAGAGCATTGCACAGAAACTTGTGTGACATTTTTTTTTAACTCAGTGCTTTAATAATAGTTTATAATAATTTACTGTTAAAAATAAATGTATAAATTTCTTCTATTTATCTAAAATTAAAATACTGTCAAGGAATAAAATGACTAGTAACTTCTGTATGGTATGTACTGTCCAGTATGTTGATAAACGTTTTCCACGTGTTCGAAATTATGAATGAATGCAATATTCTTTCTTGATGCTCGTATTATTATGAAACTGAAAAGTTGTAAAACATTTTTGTTATGAATGGCAGCACACGGGATATACGAAAAAAACAGCTATCGCGTCAATTACAAATTGTCCGTATATTTGACTTTACTAATAGTAATAATATTAGTAATCTTAATCATTGTAATCATAATATACCGCATGGGTGATGGTCATAATAACGTACGGATAGATAGAATAATCGTAACAATAATGCAATCATAAACTACGGCAATAATAATTATAATATTTAAAAAATCATCACTACCATCTTTGGGAAACAATGTGCAAGATGATAAAGTAAAAGTAATGGATAGAACATAGAAGTAACCAAAGGAACCGAAAGTGACGAAGGAATAAGAGAAATTCTCACATGTAATTAACTTGCGAATTTCTTTAAGATAGCAATATTATTGTTATAATAATATTAGAATCCCTATTATTCGTAAATGACCGTTCATACATATAGCATTCGCTAAAAATTCTATCTCTTTCTTACTCGCATATACGCGCGCGCGTACACTCCACGATCACTCCCTGTTCCTTTCTTTCCATCTCAGCGCAATAGAAACTCATATTCTCATTCAGAAAACAGTCTTACGTTGCACTATCTAAACGTCCTCCTCTTTGCATCTACACGCCACGAATGCGTTCTTCTATTTCGATGTTCAAAACATTAAAAATAAAGCTTCCTGAAAATTAACCGTCACATTTCAAGAACTTTGTAAAAAAAGCTTTGAAACGCATTCAAATAAACGGGTTCAAAATAAATAACTATGTCTACACGTCATATATTTATTTATATACATATAAATAAATGAGTGTATAATAAGTATTTTTTGTCAGTATTTAAAATTCGCTTTCGTTAATAGATAATGCCGCAAATACTTTATTTTTCATTTGCAACGACATATGAAGAAAAATGCGTTCGGCGTTTACTCTTAACAGAAACAAGAAAACCGAATTAATTTAATTAAAACCGAAATAATTGCAATTATTGAGTTGTAATTTTAATGTTACGTAACTGTTAGGAAGAATCATTATGATGCGTGACACACGTTTGTGCGCAGTTTGCATAAATCGAAGATGTGAAATCATGAAAGGAGAAGTAATGTTGAAACACATAATAGTTCCTATTTCAGTTTAAACTTGATTTCAAATTCAGAACATTTCTAAAACTTCACCCTAAACTATACATCGAATTATTCAGGTTAAATTTTGTTTTAGCGGTAAATTTCGCGTAAAACGTTCTTTCCTGAACATCCAGGCGTGCCTGCAATATATTTATAATATTGTATGCATCGTTATGTTGTTAATAACTTCGAGTTGATAATGGAAGAATTTATTACACATTTTGTTTTAGTTGCGAAGGTTACCATTTCACTTTGTTTGACATTTATAATCCAATTCAATTTATAAAACTAACGTCTCATTACTTCATTTTCAAAGCTTTTTATACATGAAATTATGAACTTGCAGATGGGTAACATTTATTAATTCATCCACTATTGAGCGAATAAAAAGTAAGTAAAGAAGTTTACCCTTTTTCTATACACATCGCTTTATCAAACCTTAGTTTCTTAATGTGAATGTTCAACGCGTTTTTCTAATCACTCGCAATATTGATTGCCAAAAGTAAATGGCCCACGATACCCATGTGAATTTTCTGTTCTCGCAAAGAGGAGGGTGCAAGTTAAACATAAAATGTATACTAGTTAAATTTAAAAACAAATAATAAAAAAAGAAAAATGTTTTTTTTTGCACCTTATCACTTTACGTTTCAAAAATTGTTAACATAAATCTATTACTTGTGAAAATGCATTTTATCCAACGTCACGTATTACATCATCATATTATCATCGTCACCGCCATTATCTTAAATCGCAGAAATAGGACATGCGAATCTTTTGTTTACTACAAAGTATACAGTTAATAACATTAGTAATTATTTTTCTTACTTCTAATTTTAGTTATAACATTTTAGTCCATTGCTATTCTTTCATTACTTTTATTATTAAAAACAAGGTAATCTCCTATTTAGAAGACTTTTCTTACACAAAAATCAATGTGATAATATACGCGACTACACTCGATTGTATACCATGGAAGCAATTTTTTACGAATAAATTGAAATTAAATCAATTACATCTTTATAAATGAAAAAGAAAAAAATACACTTCATTAAAAATGACTTTAAAGACGTACGTTACACACATGACCCTTCCCCTCCTCGCTCGTTCTCTCTCATTCTCTCTTCTTCTCACTCTTTCTCCGCCTACACCCACCTCCCTCTTGCCCACTTTTCCACTTTTGCCCTCTCTTGCTCGAAATGTAAACCACAAAAATTCATTCGCACTGCATTTTGCTCGCGTATTTGCACTTACAATTAGAGCTATCCAGACAGTTCATGTGACTTTTATTACCATAGAAAAGTTGAACCACTTATTAAAAACTTATTCCGGAAAATCTCGTTTGTACAGACCAAAGTATCGATATTGCACAATCTTTTGCATCCACTTCAACAGTACGATGCTGTGACTTCTATTATAGATCGCTAACAACTTATCGCGTGCAAATGTCGATGCGGAAATTATTTCAGATTACAAAGTCCAATTATTTAAAACTATTAATTTTTAATTTAGAAATTATTTTACGATATTTCTTTATTTCAACAAACAGACCTTCCAAGATATGAAATTAATTTTATAAGATTAAAAATATTTGAACAACGGTAAAACAACAATGATGAATTAATCATTACAAAGTGTAATAAAATTTTGTGTACATACTTTATTCTTACTTATTATCCTCTATCAAGAGGGATAGTACGTAAGGAAGGAACCATTTTCTTTCTTTCATATGCTAAGTTGTATCACGTAAGATAAATAGTTATAAAAGCATAGAAATTCTTTTACGAGATGATTTACAAATACCAGCTTCCCTTGTATACTTTGCAAAAACAATTGCAGATGTTGAGATATTTTCTTGCATATTTTGTGTATTTCCATTACTGTGCAATTACTCGAGCAAACATATTGATATTGATTATAATGGTCTTGCGGATAAAAATGATAATAGCTGTAATGATGCAAGTGATTGAGATGATGGTGATAACAGTGATGATGATGATGGTAGTAGTGATGGTGGCGACATCTTCCCTTGTATACTTTGCAAAAACAATTGCAGATGTTGAGATATTTTCTTGCATATTTTGTGTATTTCCATTACTGTGCAATTACTCGAGCAAACATATTGATATTGATTATAATGGTCTTGCGGATAAAAATGATAATAGCTGTAATGATGCAAGTGATTGAGATGATGGTGATAACAGTGATGATGATGATGGTAGTAGTGATGGTGGCGACGATGACGATGACGATGACGATGACGATGACGATGACGATGACGATGACGATGACGATGACGATAACAATGACGATGACAACGACGGCGACGGCGACGGCGACGGCGACGACGATGATGTTGACGACGGTGACGATGTCGACGGTGACAGCAATGATAATGATGACAATTACAATAAGATTGAAAATAATATTGATAATGTTGTTGATTGCGATGCAAACATTGTCCGCTTTCCATGGCGTTAAATCTCGGCAGTGAAAAACGAATTAACATGAATGGCGATGCTGCATATCTTGATACACAAGGAGAATTTTCTGTCCTTATTCGTAAAGATAATTTCAGGGCCAGATTTGGCCTCATTCGTGATCACCAGTTAGCCATGCCAGGTTTATTTAATGTCATGAAGTAAATCTGGCACGCACTTCCACCTTTTGCCGATGAGAAAAATACCTGCAACAATCGGAAAGGAAATAAGATTTCAGCAACAAATAGTTCAATTTTGTCAAACACGCAGAAAGAATCTATACATACGTACCTTATCATTACGCTCGCAAAGGAACTTGAGCCGTTGAGCTTTCTTGTGCATGAACACGCCGTCGAGATGACCGCTTTCTACGCTTCTAATCTCAATAGCTTTGTTACCCCAGCCCATAATTTGTCCTGTACCGATATAGGCAACACTAGTGGGCATTTCGCCCCATTGAAGAACCATAGTCTTCGAAAGTCTACCATAAGTGTTTACGTATACACCTTCGTTATCGTAACATAACAGTAATTGCATTCCATTACTGTTAGGCAATGCGACAATGCAATGTGGAGAAATGGGACCCTGAGTCTATAATCGAAACAAATCGTTTTAACATGAATACATAAAAATATCGTTAACCCTTTGAAAATCATATTGTTTGAGTTTCCTTACGTGTTTTGGTAGATAGATGTCGTAAACCATTGCAGAATCTAAATCAACGGCGTGAAAACCATCCGCGCTGCCGTAAATAACCTTCAATCTTGTACCTTCTTCTATAGTAAGGTCAACGAGGAGCGGCCTGTGCGCTAGTTCATTAAACGATTTAAACGCCATAAATTTGTGATAAGGTTTCGGTGCCCAGGCGTAAATTTCTATGGAATCCTTCAATGCAATAACGAGAAACTTTATTCTCTCGTATTTAACTATCTTAAAATGTACCGCACCCTGAAGATCGCCAACATTAATCCATCCGTTGCGTCGCTCGACTTGCTAAAATAAGAAAGAATTCTTCAGCGTGTTAGACAGGTTCTAATTAGCATAATCATCATTTCTTATACTGTGTATAATCTTTATCAATAATACAACTTACATCACTGTGCCCGTCGGTTCGTAAAATTTTACTTTTCAGCCAAGAAAGATAGTATACCCGTACTCGATTTTTCTTTCCACTAATTGTAACCAAAATATTTTGACCTTCGAGGACCTCCATTTGTTGAAATCGTCTTCTGCTTATTAATTGATAAACTTTCCCCTGACCACTTCTATCCAATAGCACCAGCCCATTTTCGGTGCCAATTAATAAATTTACTCCTGCAAGAATGTAGAGTTGGGTATGTTAAAAATTATATACAAAAGACATTACACAGTAATTACGTGTTAAAAATTGTTCGAAGATTGATTCAAGTTTTTCAAACAATTTCGAAGAACTATTATTACCCTGCAACAGTCATAAACAATCAAAATGAGGAAAGATTCTAATTGCGGTTCCAATATTCCTTTTTACATCAATTCTTTAATATCGATATTAATTTACGGGTAGAGAAATTTGTTTCTGCGTGTTTTTATGTAAATTCGATTTCAGTAGAATAGTACTTCTATCGTAAATATCTCAATAAATACTCATTTTGGACAGATTACACCTTAATATTTATTTACTCAACTTTTAATGCTCTGTTAATTTCCGGAAAGAAATATAGTGTGTACTCCGTTTAAAAAAATCATGGTAACATTCAAAACTTTATATACGTATAAAAACAACGTAGAAAAAAGCAATTATTATAACATACATATGTCCCCCTATAGAAATCATGCAACTTTTGCTTGTTACACTATTTCGTGCAGCGAATAGTTTACAAGTAATTTCAGAACGTCGAATTAGATGAATCACCCTGTATATTACTTTATGATATCTAGTAGTATCAGCATCTATGAAATCGATGCAAAAGTATAAAATTAGAATTATGGAGTCGGAACAGGAAGGAAAGAATATTTTACGTCCAGAACATTTGTAACATTATTTTAGGAGAAACTTTTATACCGGGTGATTCTCGCATTTGGGACTGGTTATATCTCGACAATGGTAAGTGGTACAAAAATGTTGTAGAGGAAAAAGTTGAATGATGTGGAAGGGTCTGCTTTTCTACAAGCTTACTTTTTTTTATAAATACAACGATGCATCAAGGGAATGCAAATGCATTTTTTGTTTTCTAAATGGAATCATATTTTTTTTAAATGCAGATCGATTCATCACGATAGTCTGCGTGAAAAAGTATTAGGGTACAATGTTAAAAAAATCAACGATTCGTGAGATATTTCAAATTTTTTATGAGTTTCATTTAAGATGTTAAAACGTTCCGTCTTCGCATTGTAAACATTTCATAATTCATTTTTTTTTATGTTTTTCAAACACAATTAAGATGGTCATTGCTTATGTTAGAACAATGTAGTCTAATTCGTGCTTTTAAGTTTTCTGCGGAAACAAATTGACGCGAATACACTGTATATTTAAGGGGGTATCCTAGTGTGACGGTTTCAAAATATCATTTTTTTTTTTTTTTTGCATGTATCGAAAGTACAACTCTTTAAAAATGTGCTCCTGAAATTTTATAGTTGTATACGATAAAATAACGAAGTTATAGCTCGTTTAGTGCGACGCATCAAAGGCCGGCGACAGGGAGAATACAGTTTCGCAACAGTAAACCGCGTGGTAATCTGCACATATATGCGCAATTTACTTGGATTTGTGATTGAGGTTCGGAAAAGTGTATGTAAATTATAATAATAATAGTTTATTAACACAAGTAAAGAAATAAAATAAAAGCTAAATATCGACGTTAATTACAAACCATCCTATCCTTTTTTGGCAGTAATTATATTTAATAATGGATTTTTGCCCATTCTTAAAGTATTATCAGTAACGGGGGTAACAATTGGTGAAGAAACTGAAATGCATGTGAACTATTGTAACAAAACGCGTATCAATCGCTCGGCACAACGCATAAGTGACGTCACTAAAAAAGCCAGAACTGACCGGAAAGAAGAAAGAACAGCTGAACAACATTTGTTTCAAGAAGAGGAAGGTCCCATCTATGATCTTGGACTAGCAGATTAATGATAAATGAAATTATCCCTATGTAAATTGCAATTAACACTTTAAACGCGTTTTTCTCGAAACCATGGTTTTGGAAATGGTTGCCGCGATTTGGCAAAAACTATTGTACCAATCGAACTAAAATTTTGCACATGTCTTCAGCACATGTATGGCTATGGTCGGTAGTAGAATTATGCCAAAATATATTTTTTTCTAATTTTTACAGCCTATGAGAGACGAAAAATAGTCCAAAAAATCGAAACTTCATATTCAAAGTGCCGCCATTTTTATAATTTTTAATATTTTTATTTTATTTTACTACCGGGCATAGCCAGATGCATGCTAAATAAGAATCAATTGGATTTTTTTATTTCAGATAAGCTAAACGGCTCAATTATGGCAACCATCAACATACCTTTTTTTTCATGCCCGTGTTTGACGTGTTCCACAGCAGCCATATGTAATTATTTTTCAGCAAAAAAAATTTGTAATCATCCTTCAATGACAAGTAAATACATAGGAATAAAGCTCATGTTAATAACTGTTACTGAACTTATATAATAAATTAGCAAAGAATGCCTTAAAAAAACGGCTGTCACACTAGAATACCCCCTTAAGGTAGCTCCAAAAAAAAGAAATCAATCATGTAAGTTCAGGGACCGTGGTGGCCAAGGTATTGGACTGTGTTCCAAACCAATATTCAGAATACATTTGCTGTACGTAATCTGTTACGATGCGTGCATTATGTGATGGTGCACTATCATGCTGGAAGTATTTGACTTGATATTTAACATGAGATATCTCTCAAATTAGACTGTTGTGATGAATCAATCAATAGTAAAAAAAAATATGATTCCATTTAGGAAAAACGTGTACAGTTTTGATCCGTTTTGAGCCGGTCACGAGCGAGTTACTTATTACGGATCAGGTATGTTATTCGGCTTGACTTTGTTCTCGAACGGGAGGAGAGAACTTGGAGAGCGAACTTGGCTCAAGATATGTATAACACGTCAGGATCGTTAATACTAGAATGAGAAAACATTATATATATTCTATTCTTCTTTTACTAAACGATGTCATTGTTCGTTCGACCGTTAAAGATTTATGGCTTCTCACTTTCACGGACCTTCTAGTCGTTCTTGGATCTCTCACTTGTCGATCGACTTCAAATAAAGAAGAGGGGATAGCGAGTTGCTTATTACGAGCCAGGCATCAGTTGTTTATTACGGATCAACACTGTATTTGCATTTCCCAGATGCATCGTTGCATTTATAAAAAAAAAAAGTAGACCCTCCCACACTATTCAACTTTTTCCTTTACAACTCTCAAGATATAACCCGTCCCAATTGCAAGAATCACCATGTATGACAGTTACTTCTGAAATCACTTTAATTCTTGAGAAAACTGTACAGTCTTACAACCCAAAAAAAGGTGATTCAACTACTGTTTTTATTATACAAGATAAGTCACATAGCGTAATATTTTTTCATGCGAAGCTCCTTTCTTTCAAGCGAATTGTTATTAAAAATTGAATACGCGTGATTTTATCTCGATTTTCAATTTCACGAGCACTCCTACAAACTACTTGTTTCTTTGAGGAGCACAAGTATCATTTATTAACGTAATAATAATTCTCGAGATATGGCTCTCGTTTTTCTATCTAGGTATTTCATTTCCGTGAATATACTAAATGAGCTTTTAATACCGAGTTACTTGAAAATGGAACATCGTATGAAAAATGTTACTTTACAATTTCAATGTATATATTGTTTTTGCATGTAGCATTACAACAAATAAGGTGTAGAACCTGGTTTATATTCGTTCGCTGATATCACAATGCCTTTTGAGGATACGAAAGAGTGGTAAAGAAGAAAATTGCTTGCTTCATAGGGACAAATATTTTGATAAGTAGTAATTTTTTTCGGAGTTATGTTTTTGGAGACATCAATTTTATTGCAACAAACTTGCTTTTCTATTAGCTATACTATTACGTCCATGAAAATATACCGTCCTCTTAAAAACAATTACGTAAAGTATGTTGAACTTCAGAGGAGCTTAAGCAACAAAAAGTAGTTTCAAATATAATAAATGAAGGCTGGTCTCGCGCTATTAATAACTTGCGGAGTAATCGCGTTATACAGAGTGTCTTTTGTAACTGGATATAGTGGGATATTTCAGAGTGGAATATCGAAAGAGTGAAGCTATTCCTACAAAAGTTATTTGGTATGATGGGGGACATAATGTAGTATAATTAGTTTTTTCACCAGTGAAGAAATGAGGGGAGATTTCAAGGTCAAGTTTATTTTTTTAAATGGACGGCTGTGTTCTTTTCTCATAATACGATAGCGTATGCTGAGACGAATTCTACGATATGTCACATGAAGTAATTTCATTTTTTTTAAACATCATTTTGAATGACTCATCGATGGATTACATATGTCAGCAAACAAGAGCATCGGTGATCCACCGCTGGGTCACACAGTCCTGAACGTGTTAATATACTTCCCGCGATTTCGCTGGTTGGAACGTCGAGTTAACGCCTAGAACGTTTATACATACATCCGATGTGCCAACTTATGTCGATGAATGCAAGAGATATAATTGCTTCGAGTAATAAAATTTATTTTTCCGTCGGGGAATTCTTCTCAAGAGATAAGGTCGTAGGTTGTGACTGATGCTGTGCTTAGTTACTTAGATTCGATCAGACTTCGCCATGTTTTCCTTTATAGCTCATTTTATTTTAAAACAATAGAGATGGGTGGTGATACGATCCGTAAATCAGTGTATTTTCACCCCTTGGACAGTCCTTCCCTAGTCGACAAGCAAACCACCCAGCTTGAGATTTCTAAGTTGGTAGGGTAGTGGTATAACGTCTTGGCGAGGAAGTCGGGTCCAAAGAGCGACTGATCACAACGGGATCTAATTGCCTGTGCGTCACTATACTGCTTTACTATACATTAACCGTTATTGAACGTGCAGAGGCAAAGTGCTATCAAGAGATACAGGCTGCAGAAACGCAAATTTTCTGTGTCCAGAGAAAACTTTCTGTGCCTGGGCATCTGGCTTAAGGAGTTACAAATGAACAAGAATCACCTAAAAAGCGTATACAGGGTGTTAATTTTAAATCGAGCATCTAAATTATTTCCGCTACTATTAAAGGTAAGAAAAAATGACTAAATAGGATTCAAATAGTTTCAAGGCGTGCATCTGGTGGTGGTAAAAAAAAAATCCTGCGAAGGTCACTTTGACAGTTTCTTCAAGGTTATCGTATTTTTTTGCATATTAACATTCATTTTTTATAACGTGATGTTGTAGTCGGCGTCAAAATAAGTTCAACGACCTAAGGTATACCATGACCTTGAAGTGAGCTTGAAGACAAAAAAATGAGTTTCATTTTGAAGAATGTAAAAGTAATGTAAAAGCGGGTGACTGAATGACATTCCTTGTGGTATTTCTGCGGTACACCATGAATATGTAGCTATTTAATGCTTGAACTACGAAGTTGCCACAAAAACGCTTTGTTTACTAGCTACAAGGTTTCTGGTTCAAAGCATTGTCCAATTCTCGTTTTATTACCTTTTATATTCTTCAAAATAAAACTCGTCTTTTCGTCTTCAAGGTCACTTCAAGGTGATGGTATTTAGGTCCTTGAACTCGTCTTGACGTCGATTAAGCAGTACTATAGTATTTGGGCCCACGCCTATTGTATCGTATAATACATCGTTGGAATGCGTATAAAAATAGAGGAGTCCATCATGTGGGTGGTTATTGCTACCGCAAATGTTCCATTCAGACAATATATATAAGTCAAATTAGAATGCAGTGAAAAAAATACATTCTTTTTGCAAAAGGATCGTTTTACTTACAAGTACATTTGTCATTACGTATACTTAGGCGTGAATTGAGACGAGACTTTATACAGTTAATCGTGTGTTCGAAATATTACCGCAGTATTGGTGTGTATAAGATTGAGTTAGGTCTGGGTTAGATAGATTTCGGCCGCCGTTCGGCCGTCTACACATTTAGTGCCAGACTTACACATTTTAATCCATATTTTCTGAATGGGATACATGCGGTAGCAATGACCACCATGTTGGACTCCTTTATTCATACGCTTTCCGACGATGTATTATATGACTCAACAGGCGTGGGTCCAAATACTATAGTGCAGCCGCCGATTACAACATTCTATTATAAAAAATGGATGATGTGCAACAATTAATATGATGACCTTGAAAAAAAAAAAACTACTAAAATGACCTGCACAAGATTGTTTCTTATCACCATCTGTTAACGCAACTTCCCGCGCTTCTTGATGGTTGAAGGTCGGGTTGACGTTGGAAATTATTGCACGTGTGTGTGCCAACTACTTATTGTCGCGATGACAATCGCACTTTATTTGTAACGTCGATTATTACCGAATGGACCGCACTTGTAGCTTAAAAATATCGAATATCGTGGACCTAGCGCGCTCAAGATAGTCGAGTGTTTCTACGTAGACCTTTAGAATCTCTCGAATGTCGTGAATTTGCTGTATATGTATGATTTCGTCAAAGTGGGGAGTTAACCTTGTTGGCAAATCATCGGCCTTTCACCCCCTAGAGCCGCCCTCCTAGGCCCTCGTGCACTCCCCCGTGGTCCGCAGAGTAGGGCGGTGGCAGAGAGGGAGAGACGGTCCCAAACGGGGGTGTCAGCCCCGCGTGGCGATTTTGCCGAAACGTCGTCTTTGCGGGTTTATGGCACGTTTACCGTTACTGAGCGCGCAGAGGCAAGTACCGGTTCATCATGTGGCCCGCAGAAGTGGAGAATTTCCGCGGCCATCAGGTAATAAACCGGATTTGCCCTCTGGCTTGAATAGACTATTGTTATCAGAAAACTTGTAGAAAAGCTTCTCAAAAGTAACGTCGCCTGGAATCCGTGCCATAAACCCCGGTTGGTTAAACACCACCTGATGCACGCCTTGAAACCATTTTGATTCTATTTAGCCATCTTTTCTTACCTTTAATAGTAGCGGAAATAATTTAGATGCTCGATATAAAATTAACACCCAGTATATCTAAATGTCTGCATCTTAAACTCACAGCCCTAACACTTGATACTGATTTGAATCAATTTTCATCTTTGTCCTTGTTTATATTACGAGAAAAAAAAAAAAAAAAAAAAAAAAATAGAGATATTTTAAGTTCACGGGTCGAAGGAAAGTTTCTGTGTATCTGTATGTTTGTGTTGAAGAAATTATACTTTCTATAATATGTATACAAGGTGGGCCACGTACAACAGATCACCTAATTATCTTCTCTAGCTGTAGTGGCACGGGAAAATTTTTATACGCAATTTTTAAATGATTTTAAAGGATGAATAAGACGAATGAAAATTTTTTTTTGATGGAAGAAATTACAAGAAACGAAAGGAAGTTTCACATTTCATTTAAAATTTAAAAATCCACGGTTATTTTAAAATCGTATTATTATGCATGTTTAAGTGTACATCAATGCCTGCTACAACACACAGGGTCTAGCAGATAAAATGTTACAGGCTGTTTTCTCCAGCGTCATTGCAGATATCAACTTAAAATTTGCAGGTGTTAAATGATGTAGAGGGGCTAACATTTTAGACTGTAGGATATTGTAGGGGTGAGTTTCTTAAGGGTGGAAAGGGCGCCACGCCCATTTTTAAAAAATGGGACGGTAGATATATTAATTTTTCTATGTTCAGAAATATGTTATCAAACCTAACAACTTATATCCAAGGCATTTTGTTTTATTCTGCATAGTTAAGGTGTTATAGCGGAAAATACCTTACGCAAGGGAGCTTCGTGTAGGTGACGATACGAAAGATATCAAAAGTTATTTTATTAAGTGGCTTAACTTGTGTTGTTGGATTTCTGAACTGTTAATACAAATGAATTAATTTCGTCTTTTTCTTCTTATGGGGCTACATAGAGGAAAATGTGGTGGCAACGGCACCTACTACGAAAGAGGATATGAAAAGAAGTATTCACAGCGCATGCAAATTCATAACTCCTGCAATGTTATCAAATGTTCGCAAAGATATTATCACAAGGATAAGTGCATGTTTGGAAGCGAATGAACAATTCTTTGAACATTTAATAAAATAAGTTTCAAAGCAGAATATATTTTTTTTTATATCTTTCGGCACATACATGAAGCTCCCCTTGCATAAGGTATTTTCCGCTATAACACCATAACTATACAGAATAAAAAAAAATGTCTTAGATAAAAGTTGTTAGGTTTGATAACACATTTCCGAATATAGGAAAGTTAATATAGCATCCCATTTAAAAAAAATGGCGGAGCACCCTTTCCACCCTTAAGAAACTCACTCCCAAAATATTCTGTACCCTAATATTTTAGCCCCTCTGCACCATTTAACACCTGAAAATTTCAAGTTGACATCTGTAGTGGCTTCGGAAAAAACAGCTTGTAACACTTTACCTGCTCCACCCTGTATAGTAAAAAAAAGTATATAGGGGGAGTTCCCTTAACGCCGGACGGCACCTAATATCGGACATTAGTTATATCTGCAATAATTGAAACGCTACCGAGCCGTTATTCTGCATATCTCCTAGAGGAGACAAAAGGAATAAAACTAAGTTTTCTACGCGTTTCAGTCGCGTGTGCACAGGTAGAGAGATTTATTTAAGAAAAACCTGAAGCGTCCGGCGCTAGGGGAACTCCCCCTATACTCGTGTAAAAAAACAGGTGACCTTGAAAAAAACAAATTGAGAAAATGACATTCGTAAAAAAATTTTTTCCCCTATCTTGTTCACTTTATGAAGCTATTCACATTACGTCGAAAAATTTTCTCGTACCACCATAGCTAGAGAAAATAATTAGGTAGCCTGTTTTACGTGGCCCACCCTGTACAATACATACTTACCCCAAAGTGCAGCACAAAGGATTTCACTGTTGAAACGTTTTTTATATTTGCGTATTTCAGGCGTGTCAGACGCGAGGTCATGGCTTGTCGGTGTCACGTTAACATTTACGTGAGATTCTCTTCTGGCTGGTCCCGCACCAAATCCGAATGTCAGGAAAGATCTCTGTTTCTGTTGGAGCGCAAATGGTGGTGGTGATTTAACAGCTTGTCGGTACTGTAACAAAAGGTACATTAAGATTGAACTCTCGTATACGAATCGTGGATCGCAATGTAAGTTCAACCACTGAGAAAATGTGCATGTTATTTTAATTAATCATAAAAAAAAGACAAAGTACAAAATAACTGGTGAAAAGTAATATTGATTAAAAAGAGAATTAGAAAGTATAAAGACATACATATATCTAAGTACCATGCAGTAAATGAACTAATTAAACGCATGTCAAAATTATAAAGATATACAAATCTACAAAATTATTTCCAAGGGGTAACGTATTTCATACACTACAAGTCAATATACAAACGCAATATTTTATTCAAATACTAGTTAAAAGCAGGGTAGAAAGAAAGATTTCGTGTAAACGAATGGAAAATTATGTTTTCATGTATATCAATAAGTTGTTACAAACGAAAAATATTTTCGTGAAATTTGTACCTCTGCGAGTAGAGCTATTTTGTAAAAGGAAAAGTAAACTGCAGGGCAAGGAAGAAATAATGAGACGTGAAACGAAAATGGAAGTACACTGAAACAGAAAAGAGGGAGGCAGCGAGCGAGAAAGAAATAAGTACATAAACAGACAGACAGACAGACAGAGAGAGGGGGGGGAGGGTGAGAGAGAGAGAGAGAGAGAGAGAGAGAGAGAGAGAGAGAGAGGGCAGAGAGAAAAAGAGAGCAAAAGAGAGAGAGAAGCATCGCGATTGAATTACAAATTCCGTTCGTTCGCAAAATATTTGGAAAAGGACCAGCAAAAAACTAAAACGGAAATACGTCGAAACCGTGTAGAAAAAATTGACATTCCATGCATGATGCACGGTGAGAATTAAGAAAAATAGTGGAGGATTTTGTTGCGTTTTTTCCTCTGCACATGAGAAAACGTTTTTCTAGAAAGGAGGCAGAAGCGACACTGAATTGTAAATCGATATCGAATGAATACTTACATTGTAATTAGTATTGGGATTGGAATGGTCAGTAGAAAGGGCCCTGCTCTTCGGATTAGAGCTCCCACGCGTCCCACAACACACAACAGAATCCTGAATTAGTCACGCTGACAAACGTAACGGAGCCGTTTGTGCGGATTTTTGCGTAAAATGAAACGCATGAAACAACGGTATGTATCTAGGGATTCGAATATATCGGAAATACTCGTTCTTTATTTCAACAAGAAACATATTCTGCTCGAAAATTCACGGTTTTTGCTAAGATCTGTACTACACTAGGTCCAATATATCAACTTTGAATTATTTACTTTGCTTAATACATTTAAATAATGATATTACTTCAAAGTTTCATTCCTCTCAGTTATCAGATGATGATTCATTTGCTACTGTTCTATTGCTTTATGTAATCCATTTTTTAAATTATTTACATGTGATCGTTAAATAAGATATGACTCATACGACTAACAGAAACTAAATGTCATTACGTTGAAACACAAAAAAATAAATAAATAAATAAAAAAATGATAAACAAAAGAAAGACACTACTCTTGAGCGAGACAATCAAACATACTTTCCATTTCTCTTTCAAAAAGCAGAATTTCACTACGTAATCTGAACGTGTAAAGAAGAATATTTTGAAATGCTGTTTCACCAAAAGCGTAAAGTAAGAAACAGGTTTGAAACAGACAAAACGATCAACGAAATGAGTAACATTTCTAAGCTATTAGCAGACGATCATTATCATGAATCTACTTTGTATGCAAAAATCTTACATTTTGTTTCAAATATTTAGTACCTACTTTAATTCAAATAAAATGCTTACAAAAGGAAACTTCAACGATTTTAACGTTACTACGTTTTTCTTGAAAAAATCAGATTAAGATTAATATGAATTTATGAAAAATTGTTCTATTTAGATCGTCCTTACCGCGAGAACTACCGCTTGTTATATGTATATTTTAGTTTTACGAAAGCATAAGCTATTAAATTCTTTTTCAATTCGCAATAATACACTAAACACGTACATGATGTATCGTCCAGATTTGTTACACAAAAAACAAGAATTGCATACAATCAATAAAACAATATATCTATATTCCTTTCGGTACATTATCAGATATATGCGGAGAAACACAATATAGTAAAGCATTCGCAAAGGACTAACACAAAACAAAGCCGTGAAAAAAATTCCATATCCATGAACTTTTATACTTGATAACAACCATTAATGCGTTTTGTGTTGATATTATTATATTGTGCTTTTTTTTTTACTGCTGACGTACCAGAATATATACACTATACTTGTGGAATGAAATTCTTAAATAAACAAACGCACACATATGTATTTATGCACGTATTGACTTCGTTCATCGAAATATTAATTTTTATCAAGTTTCACTCCCTTCACTTGGTGCCTTATATTTTCTTACCTAATTTTATTCGTTATTCCGTTAACTCCTATATGTTATAATTCGTACAGTTAAATGTATGATATAATTCGTATAGTTAAACGTGAATTTAATGCGTTAATTATCTTGATCATTCTTACCACTTTATGAAACCGACTGTAGAAAATGAGCATCTTTTAAACTATTTACTAGAGATGTCAAATGATCGATTGTTACTTCGTAGTATATAAAAATAAAATATTTAAATTACTATTTTTATTTTACCTCGGTCAGAGGACTTGCAGTAGATTGTAACGACTCTTGGAATAAGCCAAAAGCATGGCCACAATCAGACTATTTTCTGTTGATAAATGGTAAAATATGCTGATTAACGTTTCATGTAGATATTGTACAACATTATCACTTTTAAAAGTGTGGATTTTATTCGTAAAATTTGTAAGTTTGTACAAAAAATTGAACAAGTGCAACCAATCCGTAAACAATTTTTGCAAATAAAACTTTTCTTTGTAAATACATACTTACATATAAAGTAAGTTGATTATCTCTTCATGATTATAACATGGTGCATAAACGTCTAAAGAAAATATTGCGATTGCTACAAAAATAGTACGATCGAGGCTGTGTTTAGACTTATTTTTCCAAGAAACGAACAAGCCATCTTGATAGACTATTTTGTTGAAGGTATATTAAAAACTAAAAAAATTTCATCGTACGTAGAACAAAGTGGTGACACTATCTGCTGTTCGAGTATAAGGTCAGCACGAACTCGACCAGTTCCCAAAAGTGAAACTCGCTAAGAAATCGATATTTAACAGCTGTTAATTAATGAGAGTCTATCTTATTGGATATAATTTAGTTTGCATTATATCAGTACAAGAGTGAAAAGTTTAAGTGCAAAATCAAACGTAACTGAAATGTACAAGGTACACCATACAAATAGAATCACGTGAATATCTTCGAATCTACTGATGATGCTGGAAAATGTTTTAGACAAAGGTGGAATGGCTCTAAAGAGGAGATAATCTGACATCGGTAGTTTCTTTATATACTGCAGCGTATTTTTCGATGGTCAACTTGATTTTTTTTTTTTAACAAAATCATGTATTTTCTAGTGCATTAATCCACGCAACTCTTCGATTTATATCGTATATCCTTCAGCTTGAACAGAGAGATTTACTCGATTAAATGATCTATCAATCGGGTTAAGCATTTTGACAAATTTGTTGACAAGGCTTAGCATTCGTGAAATTGGACAGTTTCAAAAATATAAAAAAATAATTGGTACCAACCATATACTATGCATGTTTGCAGCAAGCGTTAAATCAGAATTACTTTGTTCGTTATTCTATTATTCTTTCTGCAGATATTTAAAAAACAAAATTCCCAATTACCCCAGATAAGTAGAAACAGAGAGTCTTTCAAGCATGTCCGTAAATTTTCAAAAGGATGCTTCGCAGTGTTAATAGGAGATCCATAGCAGGTAAATCTCCGCATATAGGTTGAAGGACCAATTTTGAACATTAACTTTCAAGAGGTAAATCGCAGTACTTTGTTGCATATTAGTAACTTCTTATAGGGAATTAAGAACTACGTCGATTAATGCATTAAAGAGTAGTATATGGTTCCATTTGAAAGAAATAAAGTTGACTTTTATACATATACCCCTTGTAGAATACAATATGACGCGCAAAAAAACTATTATCATCGGATTACTAAACCTCTGTGACGCCATTTAACTTTTGGCTGAAATAAGTTTTAGTATCATCAGTAACTCCCAAGATATGCGAGTAGAGTGATTTGAATAGGACATCTGTATGATAAGACTTGTATAGTCGATGAACGTAACCAATAACCAAACGATAACGACGCTCACAAGATTTGTGTTTTCATGAAACATGTATGCAACATATTAAGTGCCACGAAAGAGGGAAAGGAGATAAAGAAAATTAATATCGCATAATTAAATGCGATTATTTTCATTTATACGAGTATTAAATATAAAGGGATGAAGAAGGTATTATTAACACGTTTGACGTCGTGAGAATCATGATAAACTTTTCACGTAGATTATTCGACATTCTTGCACCACAAATTCGATTGACTTATGCTTCAAAGTTATTGAGTTTCTCCAATTGTGAAACACTGTATTCACACGTGTAACGATACTGTTTCGATACTATTTGTCAAGCAATATAATAATTTTTCATAATTGTTTCGATTCGAAGTATTGTTCTCCAATAGTTTTCAACGAAAAAAAACCTTACCAAAGGTAATTCAAAATTTATCTTAAAACACTTACATTAATAACAAGGGTGACAAATATTCTGTGAAATAATACAATTGTATCGTACACAATGGCCAACATGTTTACTAGTTTATTTTTGGCGCGAGTAAAAGAATAAACAAAATTTTCTGAACAATTGATAAACGAAAGGAAACTGTGCAATTTCAAGTTTACTGAAATATTGAAAATGTACATAACGTATTCATTGTAACCATTCCCAAAAAGTTGTTTTTTAATTATTTTCACATCTATGCCCACTTTTGTTTATAATTCGATCAGGTGGAACGAATTCTTTTACTTTATAAACTAGTTACAATTTGCTTCATCAATAAAGATTTTCTTTTTTCTTATTCTATTTATAATCTT